TTAATCAAAACCCAGGATAGGATGTTCTGTTGCTTGACATCTTACAAGCCTCTGCGGAGGGCCGGGGTTAGGACACCCTCTACAGTAGTGTTAAATGGCCTGGGTTATTTTGAATCAGAAGAGAATATCAGCCAAGGCAGACATTACTCTCGGTTGGGATGCAGCAATTAATAACTAAAAAGCAGTCTAAGAATCGGCTGAAAAGCATGCCTCATCCCTTTCTAACGGGACAAAATAATAGCATGGCCCCCACCCAACCTGGGGCTGAGGCCCAGGCCAAACATGTAAGGTACACACAGCCCCTGCACCATTCTTTATTTCCTGCTTCTTTTCCCTGAAGCAGTAGTTAAAATAAGTAGGTTTTACAGTGTAGTCATATGCTTAACTTGCTAATAATCAGCTCAGTGTGAATATCGACACAGTGCTGCAGAGAAGCTCAAATGTCATCGTAATCATTCTCCTGGATCACTTCAGAGAGAGCGCTGTGCGTGGAAGCAACAGAGAGAACAAAGGTGCCAGAGGACAAACAGGTGCCCTACAGCAACCACGGGAGAGCAAAAAGGAAAGATGAGAAACAGAAGAGAGCTGGTAAAGCTAGGGTCATCTGGAGTCGTCCAGCTGGACTCTTGACATGGTGGAAAAGGAGTGCCCAACAGAGCAACTACAGATTCACGTGAGGTGACACCAGTGATAAGATTTTCAAGGTTTTTCTATGTAGAAAGACTAGGAAAAAAAATCAGGGGCAGCAGCCAAAACAGCTTTGAATTCAGTTGACGATGGCCAAAAGCAAAAAGTGTTCATGTAGTTTATTGGCTAGTATCCAATTAAAACAAAACCAGAAAATAAAAGCCCAGCTGTAATGGACAGCAGTTTGACATCTTTGCTGATATACGCCTACAAAGGCCAAGGAATTACGCAGATAGAAGTGACCTGTATCTCACGTGTAAGGAGATCAATCTAGGAAGCACCGAGACATGTTGTGTTGCAGTGCTGTGCCCGCTACAATTGCAGGACAACTCTCATCTTCCCTTTAACAACTACAAATGTCTCTTTAAGGGTAGTATACATAGATGCAGTGTATTCCCTGAACTCTATTCTTGGTATGTTACTAAGATACGACTGTTTCTATGGAGAGCTTATTGGTGGGCAAAATAAATTGTTTTGATGAATTATAAAAAAGGTAAATTAATTTTTAAAACAAAATATTGCATGAGAATGCTAATGATATGAAATCATGCTAATATTGAATTTCAAGTACATACTTCCCTCCCCTTTTTTATTCTTTTTCTTTTTAATTTCTAGTAGACATTTATCCTAAATTAATATGTGTCCTGCAAAATACTTAACTAACTGTAACAGCCACCTATGTAGTGGATACAAAAGCTCCAACTGAACATTTGTTTGTTTTTAAAAGCTAAGTATAATTGTACAGCAATTTATTGTGGATTATAAGTATCTACATGACCATGAATATGCCATGTTTGAAGTGAACAAAAGAGCTTTGAAATAAGAATGGTAAAGGCAAAGAAGGAGAGAACAAATAAGTACGTTAAATAAAGCTCAGCATTTAATTTTAACATGCTTCTGTGGTAGCAGCTAGACTCTACAGATGACAAGTAATAGATATGTGGGGGTTTGTGGCATTCTTGCTTCTTTCTTGTTTATAGATCTAATACTGTGCTGAAACAGACCTTGAAAAATGCTGTGCTTGAACAGTTTAGTTGATCAATCAAGGATTTGGCAAAATAAATAACAAGAAGCTACACAAAAAGAAATCAGTGAGGAATTACACAAGGAAACCAACTGGAATTTATGAGTGACCTCTTCTTTTTTTATCTTTACATCTGTAGAAATTACTCATCTCATTTGAAGACGCACTTTGATATTTTCAGTGTCAGAAATATTCCATATGTTACATATTAGTTTAATTGTCTTTTTTTTTTTTTTGGTTCTTCATAAGAAAGACAGGCCAGGATCAAAATTCAACCTTAAATGCACATGCAGAAATGTAAAGTTTCTCACTGGTACCTAAGAGGAAGCTTTTATTTCCATGAGCAGGTAGAAGCTGCCATCTATACCCTTCCATTTTTATGCCACCCTTTTTTCTCTCTCACGTGGTTGCAGTCTTCCAAATCTAGCAACAACATATGAATATACACACAGCTGCCTAAAGCAGGAGGATTCATAGGACAGGAAAAATTAGTTAAGAGAAGCCTGACTGATCTGGCTGTGCTCATTTAAAAAAAATTACAGACCACACCGCTTTGTCCCTCCCCTCTGCCAGAGGGTACCGTCCTTGTAGGAGGTGTGGCAGAAGAAACTATAGGCATCTGACTCACCTGCCTCAACGTCCTCACTGGTGGTTAAAGCTAATTGCCACACTATACAGGGAAACAGGTATGGTTCCTGTCTCCTCTCCCTCAGGGTGTAACAACTTTCAGCAGAAGGGTAGGGCAACTAGCTGGGGCAGTAATGCATTAAAAGGTAACATCCTAATTCTACCTATCTACCCTGCATAGTTAGTGTTGCTAAGATTCTAAGACAGAAAAAGCCTTTGGCCTAGACTGCCACGTAAAGCCTACATCTACTTACCTCCTAATTTCCTGCATTCTTTTTCCGTATCTTCTCTCTTGCATTCTCTTTCATCCATCCCAGCTCTCCTCCCGTCCCCCTTCTCTTACCTCAGTGCTTGTTTTGCATAGACTATCTCCCACTGACATCTCAAAAGCTACCATTATAAATTTGAAAGCAGTCCTGACAGTGCACAAAAAACTCCAGGATGTAGTTGATCTGAGGATGCACAGGGATCTCTAGAATATATAAGGAATTCTCTGCATATCAACAATACATCATATACCCTTGACTTGCAGCACAGAGAACAATGCGTCATAAGGGCTCAGTCCTCCCTACAGTAGCCTGTTTCCCTCAACCCACTTCATTCTGTCCCCAGATTTCCCGTACTTCATTTTATCTCCAACATCCACTACGTATACTGGTTCCATTTTCATGTGCCCTTTCTCATAGTCTTCATATTCTCTACATCGGATTTCAGCTCCGGTCCCACTTCTTTTATTCCTATGTGTCTCCACACCTTCCTGTCCAGCCTTAAAAACATAAATTTGAGAATGACCTGGTTTCATCTTCGCTGGAACAGATACCATCTTTGCTAGAACAAACTTCATTTTTATGTAACAGGATTACAGGAAAGTAACCAGCTGTCACGACTGAAAGCAATTTCACTTAAGTCCTAAAACTCTCTAGAGAGAGCAACCATTACAATAAGGAAAAAAATCAGAAGTTTGACACCTATAATCTTGTAACTGCAGGAGTCTCTGTGTATTTTGTCCTTTATTTTCAAATCCACTAAGCACTTTGAACTGGCAATGGTACAAGTGTTCTGAGACTCACTGATGGCATTTCTAACCAATTCTGTGAGTAATGACTGCAAATTTCTAGGAAGCAATTTACTTGCAATGAAGAAAAGAGAGAGATGCTTGCTATTCTGTCCGAGACACTGAACCTGCATGAAAGAAACAGAGGAGAAGAATAGGAGCTTCTTCCCCTGCCATTTCAGATTTCTGTTTCATAAAGGGAGACTTGTATCCCTGAATGGTACTCAAAAAGAAGCAGCAGAGGTGTGCATACACAGGTGACCAGCTTTCATTACCTGCAGATCTTTGTTGTTTCACTTGAATTCTTTTCACCGGTTTTAGTCTCCAACACAAAATGTAAACAAAATATCAAATCTTTCTTTCATTAGGCCAGAGTTTCATAGTGACCTATCTTCTACTGCAGAAACCTCATTTTTAGACAATCTACAGAAAGACCTCACTATTTCCTATCCGAGTACGATAATTGTACCGGGTTGGGGTAGGCCTAGTATCTTTGGTTTAGAAAAGCCGGATGTCCTGCCTTTCAGAGCAGTAGCAGAGAAATAAAGGAGTGTCTAGCCATTTGTTTGCAAACCAGGGCAGAAATGTACAGAAAGAGTCTCTCTCCGTGCTATTAACTTCCTTCTAAAAGGATTAACCTGACTCTTGCTGAAGTCAATAGAAAGACTTCATTTATATTAGTTGGAGGAATCTCCAACCAGAGGAAAAAAATAAAGAAAAATGAAGCAATGAAACTAGATTTTCCACTAAAACAATGCCCCATATCTCATATGCACAACCAGTAGACACTTGCTATGTCCAAGTCCCAGCAATGCCAGATATAAATAAAAGCATCAACTCTGATATTGTAAAGACATAAATTACTATCTACATGAATGATAAATAATCTTCAAAATTTAGTGATACAATGTATAAGGAAATGAGAAATAATATTTAAGTAGCATTTTGATAGGATGTTGTGAAGTTACATATGGGAACTGAAAGGTTAAGCAACATAAAGGAATAGGAAGAAGAAAAGAGTGGACAATGGTATGTCATGTGTAAGTCGTGATATACAATATTTATTTATATGCTATAAAATGACAAAATAAAGAGATAAGGAATAAGCACAGGATGACACAGACCTTCCAGTAATGGTAATTTCTCCAGCAGTTGATCAGTCTCCAAACACCAGTATAGCTACACAAATGCAAATCTCAAGTGCAGATAAGGAACACCCCTCTATTTGCACTTTGGGAACTCTTCCCTTCTTGCCAAACAAGCAAGGTTTACAAGAACAAATAGTTGCTTTCCCTGTTTCTATCTCAAATATACAGTGCAACTAAGGCAATGACCAGTTACCAGTTACTCAAATCATGGTAGAAATGGCTACAGTTCTTGTTAGCAGAAGTATATCGCTTTTTGTTTCTTGCAAGGGTGACCTTCTTCTTGTTGCTACTTCCTGCTTCCATTCATTCAAAGAGGAAGGGGTTTGGTCTTCCAGTGACGTTCGAGAATTTTTTTTTTTTAGCCTAGAGGCCTGCAAGTATTACATTGTACTAAATCCAAGTAACCTGGAAAATACTTTATATGAATACCAGCTTGGTATAAGAAAGCAAGAAACAATCTTAATTTGATTATTTTAAATGGATCGGAGTTTTGCGTAGGTGGAAGACGGTCACTACAGAAAGGAGTGCTACACAGACTAATACATACAGCTTATGAGCTGTGAGCAGAACAATAGCTCTGTTTCTTCTCTCAGAGCACAGATACAGTTAGTTAGAGGATACTGCATTCTTCAGAAATTTTTGGCATCCAATAGAAAAAAACAATTGCATTTCAAAACAAAATACTGTATTTGAAAAGCACTTCCCCTTTTAATTACCTGCCAAGACTTTCAGTCTTTCCCCTGCAAATGAACACATCCCTTGTAGTTGAGCACAATGCTTTCCCACACTGCTGGCTGGTTGCGAGGTTGCTGACTCCTGCTGCTGCGACACAGAATCCTCAGCTTGGCTCTTGGCAGGAAAGCAACTGCTTTCCACATACATTGTGTTAAAAATACATATGTTTCTGTAAGGTTTCTGTCTACCATTATGTGAACTTCACTGATTTAATTCCTGTACTTTTACTGTCACAAAATAACGACGTCCTTCTGTTCAATAAATGCAGAGGCAAAGACAGTGTATTCATATTCGAAGCAGGAAATCTTGGTTCCCTGACAGCACTGTATTCCTACTGCTGGATTTATATTCTAATGGCTGACGTAGATTTCATCAGATTGTCCAGTGGCAATAATTCATTCCATGTAACCTGGGCGTACACCATTCTTGCTGGCTTAGAGAGCAGACCTATTGCACTCACCAGCCAATCCAGCTGAAAACTAGTTTAAAATATTAATAATCATGGTTAGCTAGATGGAAATATGATTGATTGCTACATATTCCACTAAATAATAAAACAATCTGGTTATAAAACCAGACTCATGGGATAAATTAATCAAAATCAGTGCCTACGTTTCAAACTTGTCTGTCACTCTACCTTGCTTCTGTACTGTCTTTTGCCCAAATGTGAAAATCTTTCTCTGAGGGCACCAGGCAGTGGTAGATACAAAGGCCAAATGGCTATCAAGTGTTATACTATTATAGACTCTTCCCTCTTAACAACTCATTCTCCCCATTACAAGTGGAAAACTTTAAAATACTCTCATTGCACTGCAATCAGTGTTGACCCCTTATTTCTTGGGTGACTCATCCTAACTGCTCATTTTTTAGTTTCTTCTTTTGTTTGTCATAATTACTTTTCCTGTCGTAACAGGAGTATCAATGGCAGACATGAATATGGATAAAGTAAAACAAGCATATTTTACTGATATTTTTAATACTTGAAAACAAAAATATGGCTTCATAAACTTCCAACCCACTTTCTCCCTGTACCGCATTTATGGAAAATAATTTACTTGGGACGTGCTGCAATAAATGCACTCACTGCTGCGCTGTCTTGTTTTACTAATCATGTATATAATAACAAACTTGCACACAATCATTTATAATGATATTACTTACCCAAAATGGCCTTCAAATTGAGTAAGAGAAAACAAAACACACATCATCTCGTTAGCATTCAAAGATCAGGAGAACTGGTACGTCTAGCAAAAACTGGTACGTCCTGAGCTTTAAAGGAGATCTGTAAGGGCTATCTTTGCATTACCAGGAAGTTCAAAGCTTGAACGTCTGCTTTTGGTGTGTTATTAAAAATCCCACAAGTTTTGCAAAGGTAAGGTAGCTATCCTACGTCTTGAAAACATTCAAAAAGACCTCAGTAATCATGTTTTGTCTCTATAAGCAGCAAGTTTGTTTCTGAGTCATATTTACTGCTTTTTATCCTGAACTGATTTCACCAAAAGTCTACATCACCATGAGCAAAGTGAATTTGTGTGCATGTCAGAAGTGGTTTCATGCTTGCACTCCTTTTTTAGGCAAGAGCAAGTGACTTCTGTTTACTGGGAAACATATTTGCCTGTGTTCTGGTTTGCTTGTGCTGCTGGAAGGGTGCAACGGAGCTGGAAGCAGGGGAATTTTCAGCTGGCACTGCTCCTGTGAAGGCAGCTCCCACTGGGCGCTACTGTGGAGAAGGACTGGCTAGAATAAGCTGCACATGGAGTTCCTCAAGATGAGGAGCTTGCTGCTGCTGCTGCAAATTAAAATACACTCTGGTCTCCACCTAGACACAGCATAGCACAGACCCGCCTGCAGAGCAATGGAGCTTTGGACTCCCTCAGTGTACACAGGAGTGTGGCGAAGCAAGGACTCGAAAGACCCGTGAGTTAGTTCCTCTTAAGGAGCCCGTGACGTGGCCTGGCATAGTCAGACAGTAACCCTGGTCTGCACGATGATGGGAGACCCATTTTGAGAAAAGGCCCTGTGGTCATGACACTGATCTTTAGCTGACAAAGTCAGAGAGAGTGAGCAGGCAGGCAGCGAGGATCAGCAGATGTCCAAAAGGGAAAAAAACCCCTATTTGCCAAATTCTGCCCTAAGTGTACCTACGACCTGGTACTTGAAGTTCAAACCCACGTCACTAAAATCACTTAAGATTTGGCCTTCTTGTTATATCTTGTTGTGTGGTGGAAATATGAAAACAACAGTGCAGAATAACTGGCTCGCAAGACTAGTTTTTATCTTTTATAAGGTCTTGTTCAGTAGGACACAAAGCCTAAGAAATTTAGGGATGGAAAGGACTGAGAAGTGACAGAATGCAAACTGGATCACTTTGAGGGGGGAAAGATTCTAAGCACAGGAAGGAAGTGCAGTTGGCGCTGGCAGAGCTATCGCAAGGAAGACAAGAGGGATGGTACGGGGACCGTGAACGCGAGAGACAAAGGAAAGAAAATACCACAAGAATAAATACGGAAAGGATGAGTTAGAAATCGATCTAAAAAGCCACATGGCTTCCCTTAACTTCAGTTACCGAATTGTCAGCCGGGGGGGGAAGCAGGGAGGCATGCCTGCTACCTCAGAGATGAGCTAAATCACCCCGCAAACCCAAGAGGAAACGCGGCCAGGAGCCGGGAAACACGAAGCGAGCAAACGCCCCTTCCCACACCGCCCCCGCCGAAACCGCTCGGGGAGACCCCTCGGAGGGACAACGGCGGTGATGGCCTCGGAGGGGACCCCCGGGCCTCGGGAGCCTC